TCACTGTTCTCCCTACTTTTTCTTCCCTCTCTTCTTGGGATTGGCCCCAGGGCCTTTGCACATGCGGGGTGTGGCGCCAAGCACTTGGGTTACTGCTGATCTGGCATCATTTCTGGTGCTGTGATAAAATACCCTGACAAGCCTATCATGGTGGTGCACGCCTTTAATACCAGCATTTGGGAGGCAGAGGCAGGAGGATCGCTGTGAGTTCGAGGCCAGCCTGGTGTACAGAGCGAGCTCCAGGACAGGTTCCAAAGCTACACAGAGCAACCCTGTCTCAAAACCTAAATAAATAAATAAATAAATAAAATAAAAAAACAACCAAACAACCAAACCTCCAACAAAAGGCCACTTAGGGGAGATGAGTTTATTTGGCTCAGGATTTCGGGTGACAGTCCGTCACAGCAGGGATGTGACAGCCTTAGGGGTTGCTGTTATGCGATCCAGGCTGGCCTCGTCTTGCTAAGTACCTTGATGATGCCCCTCAACTCTTCCTCTTCTCATCTCTACATCCTGAGTACTAGGATTGCCCACAGGGCCACAAAGCTAGTTTATGTAGTGTCGGGCTTCCTGCGTACTCAGCAAGAACTCGACCAACTGAGCTCTAGCCCCGGCTCTTTTTCCGTTGCTATACCGGGCCCAAGTTCTTTAGCTCTCTTTTTTTTTAGTACCGTGAATGGAACCCAGGACTTTGCACATGCTAGTAAACACACTACCCCAGAGACTGATTCCCCAGCCGTTTTTTTATATTCATTTTGAAAATTCATACTTGGGAGACAGAGGCAGGTAGATGTCTGTGAGTTTCAGGTAAGTCTGGCCTACATAGTAGAACCTGTCTAAAAAGAAACAAAACAAAACACCCCAAAAAACAAAACCCTCATCCGTTGTTTGGGCTGGCCTTGAACTCTCGGTCCTCCTGCCTGTAGAGAGCCGGAATCATGGCTTTGTACCACTGTGTTTGGCCCTTAATATTTCTTCAGATATGAGCAGAATCCCTCAGTCTGGCCTGGAGATTTCCTCTCTGAGTGTGAGGATAGAGTTAACAGAGCAGGTCTGTTTCGGTCTGTTTCACTGCGCAATTTCACTTATCTCTGTAGCCATGGCAATGACCCTTGGTCACATTCTGAAAATTGAACAAGAATCTTCACAGAGCTATTGGGAAGGAGTTATTCTCTGTGCTCAAAATAGAATCAGGACGAAGCAGGCTGTAAACCAGCACAGAGCAGCACACCTGCAATCTTAGCCCTTGGGAGGTGGAGGCTGGGGGATGAGGACGAGTTTATTTGGGCTACATAGTATGAGGCCAGCCTGGGCTACATGCAACAGTGTATCAGAAAAAGAAAAAGACGAACTGAAAGCCAGAGAGATGGTTCTGTGGGCAAGGGTGCTTGTTCTGCAAGCGTGGGAACCTGAGTTCAAAACCCATCATCGTGTAAAAAGCTGATCATGGGAGCTGGAGAGATGGCTCAGCAGTTAAGAGCACTGGCTGCTCTTCCAGAGGTCCCAGGTTCAAATCCCAGAACCCACATGGTGACTCACAACCTTCTGTAACTCACGCAGACATACATGCAGGCAAAACACTAATGCACATACAATAAGAAAATTAAAATTTAAAAAAAGCTGATCTTGGCTGATCACATGCCTGTAACCCCAGGGCAGTGGGGGCAGAGACAGGGGGTTCACAGGGCTTGCTGACCAACGGTCTATCTCCAAATGCGGTGAGAGACCTGGTCTCAAGGCAATATGGTGGGATTGCCGGCGTCCTCCCCACAGGCATGTGCAACCGCACACACATGTGAGCACACACAACAAACACATCTATAGAAAATTTAACACCACGGTGAACTTGGCTGTCCTGGTAGCTCTGGTTTGGGTCTGGAATGCCCTCAAAGCCTCGTGTGTTGCTTCGCACCCATCTGATGGCGAGCCCGGGAGGTGACGGGACCCCGGAGGTGGGGTCTGGTTGGAGGAATCCATCCCTGTAGGACCTGGAGGGCCTTACAGTGTCCTTACCCCTTCCTCTTCCTCTTTGCTGTCCAGAGGCCGTGAGGTGAGCAACCCTGTCCTCACACCTGCTTCCGGGCATGACTCCCGCCCTGTCAGAGACCCACGCAAAGCAGTCGGGAGACCGGGCTGACCCGAGCTCGAATAAACTTTTCCTCTTCTGGTTGACTGCCTCGGGTATTTTGTCAGAGTAACAAAGAGCTAACACAGCAGGTTTAGTTCATTAAAATTATGGGGTGTGTGTGTAGGTCAGAGGACAACTTGCAGGAGCCCGTTCTCTCCTGTCATGTGGTCCCAGGGACCAAACTCAGGTCACCAGGCTTTTCCTTACTGACGCATCTCACCGGCCCTCTGTGTATGCATGTGTGTGTGCACCCACATTTGCAAATGCAGAGGCTGCTGCTCAATCACTTTCAGCCTCACGACCTTGAGGCAGGGTCCTTCACTGACTCCGGAGCTCGGCTGGCCGCTGACAAGCCCCAGTTCCTGTCCCTGCCTCCACAGCACTGGGTCACAATGTGGCCGTGGCTGCTTTCTGTGGGTCTGGGGATTTGAACTCAGGTCTTCCCACTTGTGCAGCAAACCCACTGAGCCATCTCTCCAGCCTTACGGCATGTTTAAAGAGGGAGGGCACCAGGGTTCACAACACTCATCTGGTGCTTGGTATGGGGCCGGGGTGGTCACACAACCGGCGTGTGACCACCTCCTATGGAGAATTGTGACCCTAGGGCTCCAGGGAGATTTCCAGGACAAGGACATCCCAGATCAGCCCCTGCGGGCGGTGTGCTCCTGAAACAGGAAAGTGTGCGCTTGACCCTGCCACCCTTCAGCTATTTATATCCCCTCCCCGCTGTGCCTGCATTGAATGTATCTGCTGAAATAAATCTTAACTGTGAAAACGCTTTCATGTGAGCTATGTGGGGCCAGCGGAAGGAGAATAGAAAGATGGGAGGCGGGGATGGGGGGGAAACGGAGCAAGTGTACACATGCACAGACATTCACGTGTGTTCACGAATGCGCACGCACACACACACACACACACACACACACAATTGCTTGATGTACTTAAAACTATTGTCCTGGGGGGCAGGAGCGATAGCTCAGCCAATAAGAGTGCATTGTTGCCCTTGCGGAGGACCAAGGCTCAGCTCCCAGCACCTGCATGGTGACTCACATCCATCCATAACTACAGTTCCAAGGGATCTGGTCCCTCTTCTGGTCTCCCACAGGCACCAGGCATGCATGCTGCGCTCACACACACATGCAGGCAAAACACTCATACATACAAAATAAAAATTTCTTTCTCAAAAACAAACCAACCACCACCAACAACAACCCCCCCCCCCAAAACCTATTGTCCCTAAGAGGACATGGATACTCCTCAAATGGTACAGACCCATGGAATAATTCTGAAGGCTCCTGTGGGCTTCAGGAGATTTTGTCACATGACAAAGGTCCAGTTCTGTTTTCTACGAAATGCTTAAAGAGATGGGCAGCCGATACATAATTTTTCTCCCAATTCCACCGACGCCTGAAAAGGGAGACACAATGGCTAATGTTTGCCTTCTGTCACAGGACTATTTCTAGAAGAGACAGAAAGACAGACAGTCTGGGCATTGCGGCATGGTCTACCAAGGTCTGTGAAGTCTCCGGTCCTGAGACAGAGCCCTAATGTCACATGACCTAATGTCACTGCTGTAGGATGGATTAAAATCAAATTCTCATTTGAAACTAAGAATGATTCTCATCAAGAATCATTATTGAAAACATGATTTAAAAAAAAATGGTTCCAGGAATACACTGTGGAGAAAAGAACCACTGCTTAAAATGAGCTACTGGGCGGCTTGTGTGGCTCCTGTCACGGTGAACACATTTTCTTTTTCAATTATATTCATCCTTTTTCATTTTATCGAGTTTCTTGTCTCTGTGGACAACTGGCCACAGATAACAGCTCACTAAGAATTTTTTTTTTTTCAACCTCAGAGTGACTCTCATCAGCTCCAACTGCTGCCTGTTTTCCATTGTGAGAATTTTGAAACCGTAAAAGGGGGACCAATTGTATCAGCTATCAAAGCAAATTATACGCTGAGATAATTAGGTACTGGAGAAGGTTCAAGCAGATTCAAGGTTAATAACCAACTTGAACAGGAATTTAACAATAAAGGCAGAATTTCAAAATAGTTGGGAAAAGAGGGATTCATTAGAAACAATTGGATAATCATGGGAAAGTGGGGAAGAGTTGGCGCTTATTCTACCGGGATCCACGCCAGGGCCTTATATATACTAGGCAGGTGCTCTACCATGAGCCACACCCCAGCCCCTCACTGGGGGATTCTAGGCAGGGGCTCTACCATGAGCCACACCCCAGCCCCTCACTGGGGGATTCTAGGCAGGGGCTCTACCATGAGCCACACCCCCAGCCCCTCACTGGGGGATTCTAGGCAGGTGCTCTACCACTGAGCCACACCCCCAGCCCCTCACTGGGGGATTCTAGGCAGGTGCTCTACACTGAGCCACACCCCAGCCCCTCACTGGGGGATTCTAGGCAAGTTCTTTAATAAAGTTAAAAATTTTAAATTAAAATAAAGCATGAGGGGTGTGAACAAGCCCAGGGAAGGCTAGGCATGGCGGCACACACACGTTATCACACACCTGTTATCTCGGCACAAAGGTGGCTGAGACGGGAAGATCGGGATCTAGGGCAGCCATGATGCTCAGTTAGTAAAGGGCTTGTACCAGCACACGGACCTGGGTTTGATCCTTAGAACCCACGTAAAAAAGTTGGGCGTGCTGGTGTCTTGTCAGTCACACCGAGTCAGGCAGATCCGTCCGGCCTGGCCTCCTTAGTGAGCTCCAGACTGCAGAGAAATCATGACTCAGGAAACAGTGTGGACGGTGTTGGAGGAACAACACCCAAGGTTGTGACCTATGACCGACACAAATATGGGTGAGCGTGTACACACACACACACACTACCCTCCACCAAAGGCTGAGTCTCATGTCAGAATCCAGTTTATTCCATATCACAGTGTTGGTACCGTCGGAACGGCGGCAACTGTTGTACGTACAAAGCAGTTTTCCCGGAGGCTCCCAACCTTCTCAACATCGTAGCAACATCCACCTTGGAGAGAATCCTGGGGATGTAGGAGGCATCGGCCAGCATCCCCACACACCCTGGCTACTTTCCACGCAACAGAAACCCACCACAGTGACTACCTGAGGGCTTTCAAGGCCACGAAACTCATTCAACGTCAGAGAATTCACACTGGAGAAAAGCGCCATGCTCGTGAGGGCATGTCAATGAATCCCGCTCACTAGGGCCTTGCAGCTGTTAGACTGCTGGGGTTTGCTTGCAGACAGAGACCCTGGGGAGACAATGGGTGGTGAAGAACCTTTGGTCAGAATCCTAATCTACTGACTGTACCAGCTCTTTCATTCCAGACACCATTAGCTAAGTCATCTGAACCCTAAACTGGTCACCAGTGAGGGACATGGACACGACAGAGCACTTGTGAGAAGTGGTGGGGAGTGTGTTTGGAGAGGAAGTTACAAGAGAAACTGGCAAGCAGAGATGGCCCGGTGCTTCTCATCAGAGACCACAGGAAAGAAACCCGTGAAGGTTGAGGGAGAGGCTCGAACACATCACCCCATGGCTGCATGGTGTAAAGCCCTCATGTGGAGGGTCAGGGGAAAGCTCCTGCTTCCCTTTATTGGATTTAAGAGACTACAAAGCCGTGATCTCTGTAGGGAGGCTTTCTGGGGGTGGGGGCGAGGGTGGGGGGAGACTTTGGGTTAAAAAGTGTCAGCAATAGCTTTGGCAAGTCTATAATTCCAGTGACTCAGGGGGCTGAGCAGGAGGAAGGATGGGAGTGAGATTCAGGCCAGCCTAGGCAACTCAGTAAGACCTTGTCTCAAAATCAAAAGTCAAAAGAGGGCTGGGGTGTGGCTCAGTGGTAGGGCCCCTGCCTAGAATCCCCCAGTGAGGGGCTGGGGTGTGGCTCAGTGGTTAGAGCACCTGTCTAGAATCTCCCAGTGAGGGGCTGGGGTGTGGCTCAGTGAGAGAGCACTTTCCAGAATATGTGAGGTCCAAGGTTCAATCTCTGGTTCTGTACATACAAAAAAATATTGGGGAGGGGGAGGCCCTGACTTGTCACAAGGCACACATAGAAATGCTTCTTTTTGCCGGTTCAGCTCCCGACCCAGCCTTCACTCCTTTTCCACCTCACAGGAGGTTTGGTTTGGTTTGGTTTGGTTTTTTTCCCCTCTCTGGTGACTCATCTTCCTTGTCCCTTTTATAAGCTGAGATCCACTTTGCTGGTTTTAGCCTATTCCCATTGAGCGAATGGAGTCTACAAGAGACAGATGCGAGCTACTGGCCTTGGCATTTGGGGCCCAGCTCCATATACACAGTGTATACACAGGGGCACACAGGCATGTCCTGAGGGCCGGTGTCTACGTCACAGCTTCTCACTGATTTAACGCAGCCCTGGCTGGGCCCCTGGGGTTATTCTGAGCTGCCCCAGAGGGAGGGTGGCTTTTTCTAGAGTCTGCTTATAATGGGGGTGACGTGACGAGTATATTGAGGCTCCAGGAGAAGCCTGGCTTTTGAATTTAGAAAACAGAGTTTCAAAGAGGACGGGCCCGGCCTTGAGTTCAGCTTCTCCAATGATCTCGGACTTGTCCTCCACCTCCCAAGGGGTAGGATTACAAGCATGTACTACCATGCCTAGTTTAGGCAGTGCTGGGGACCCAAGCCAGGGCTCTGTGCCTGCTAGGCAAGCACTCTGCCCACTGAGCCACACCCCCAGCCTCCCCGTCTCCAGGTGCTCAGCGGCACTTCCGGCTCCTGCCCTCTTCGCTTGAACAAAGGAAGAAAAAGGGGGTTAGGGGGGGAGAGAGAGAGAGAGAGAGAGGAAGCAGGCACAGCCTTTTTTCCAAGAGGACCATTTTAAAACAACACTAAGGCTGTCTCCTCCTGAGTATGGCCTTTGCACCTGCTGGCTCCGGATGCCACAAACTGCTCCAACCGCCAGCTGCAGATCCTGGTCATTGCCTTCAGAATTTACTCACCTGGCCTATCCTGATTTCTCACTCTTTGGGCTCTGGATCTCAGGCACTAACTAAAAAAATGTTTTTTTCTTAAAGTTATGCCTCAGCCCTGGCTGAGAAGACTTGGGCTCATATGCATATGGAAATTTCCAGAACTATTCATCCTTCCTGATCTGTGTCCAGGGGGCCTGCAGGGTTATGACTAATCACTGGGCCTGCTCTTTAGGCTGTGGCGGAGCCTGCCCTTCATGGTTCGTGTCCATTTCCTACCGTCTGTGGTGCATTTCTCCCACCAACACTTAGGAAGACAGCAACTTGGGTTGTTTTCTCCATTTAGAGCCACAGAGAGACCCATAGGGCAGCAGTGAGGGCGGGGAGGCAGGGAAGCTCCGTGAAGAGCTGTTTCAGGCCCCAAAGGCAGGACGGGAACCAGGAGACAGCAGGCTGGCACAGGGCAGGCTGGAAGGGGATGGTTCCTCTGGCTCCTTTTGCTCATCTGCCTGGTCATCCTCATCTGGGTGTCCCCCCCTTGGTCTCGTTACCTCGTGGATGCAAGGTGGTCCCAACAATTTCCCCGTAAGTGTATTAGCAGAACTGGGTCACATGACCACTTCTAGGTCAAGCAAGAGCAAAAGTAAAAAATACAAGCTTGCTACAGCGGCACATACAGGCGAGGACGGCCTGGTGAGCTACAGGGCAGCGAGGCAGCTTACTAGCCATGACCCTACTCTGAGCATTCTCTTCTTTTCCTTTGTTCCAAAGAAAGGTTTATTTCCTTTTCCACAGTAAGTGGATTTTCCCTATATAATAGACTTATTTCCTATTTCCTCATTAAAATTCTCCATTGTGAGTTTGGCCAGAACATTGGACCATCAAAGCCCTACTTACCATCATAACATCTTGCTACATACTGTCAATCAGTCTGATTTCAGGTTCAGATTTCAAAAAAAAGGGGGAAATTACCTAGCCTGACTGGATTTCCTTCCATTTTTGAGTCAAATGACTTCAAAAGTTGCTGGCCAGCCTGTATTAGACTCTGGTCCAAAGAACAGAATACATGCACAGAGGTAGAATCTTGTAGTATATGACTCTGCCACCTAGGTACTACTGGCTAGAGGTAGGATAGGTAAAGTGGAGTGCAGTGGAGAGGGATATTGATAGTGTGGGCTCGGACAGCCCAGAGCATAAGATGAAGCTACTCATCTGAAGACAGTGTACACATAAACGAAGGTAGAGGCACTAGGGACATCTTAGCCCCGGATGATTTTACAGGGAGAGGAGAAACCCAGTTGGCAGGCAGAGCAAAGGCTCCAGACACAGAGCCCTACTTGGACCATGTTGGCTATCTCCAGCTAATCCAAAGAAGGTCTCAGACAGAGTGGAGCCGAGATAAACCGTAACAATGCCTGATTTGCAGATTCAATGGTATAACCAGAGGCTCTTGAATCTGCCCCAACTCAAGAGTCCCTTCAATTCCCACAGCAGATACACTAGCGACTGCTGATAAGAAGCTTATGTCTCTTATAGGGAGCTCATGTACCTGTAAAGTATTGGATAGGTTTGGGCAGGCTAAAGATGAGACTGTAAAAACAGTGCTATTTTCAACCAGCAAATGGAATTGAAACTCCTGCAACCAACCCCAGGACTTTCATGGGCATAGTTACTAGGAAGTGTACATTTGAGTCCTAGCTCCTCTACCCAGGAGTTGTAGGGCTTTGAGAGAGATCTGAGCAAAGCTCTCCACACCTATTTCCCTCAGTTGTAGCATGGCCCAAAGACAGATTCCAAAGGCTTGTTGACAAGATTCAGTGAGGCGCTGCATGGGACTCCCAGGTCACTGTGAGTGCTAACAAGTGAGGTACTGTTAGGAGAGTCTCTCACTTACTCAGGAAGCAGAGGCAGGCAGACCTCTGTGAGTTCAAGGCCAGTCTGGTCTACAGAGTGAGTTCCAGGACAGCCAGAGCTGTTACACAGAGAAACCCTTTTTCGAAAAACAAACGAGAGAGAGAGAGAGAGAGAGAGAGAGAGAGAGAGAGAGAGAGAGAGAGAGAGAGAGAGACTGGGAGCCCTGCTGGTAACCTCAGAATGGGAAGTAGGGGGATGGGAAACGCAGCATGGAGAAGGGATTTCAAGTAAGTTGCCTGGGCTGGCCTCAACCGCACTTTGAACTCTTAAGTGCCTTGCCTCGTCTCCTAAGAGCTACGACTCCTGGTGTGTGCCGTCAAGACACGGAGGGGGGGTCTTTACAGCTTTCGACTACTGTCTTGAGTAGGTTCCCAGCAGCCCTCTTTGGGGTGGACATCAGCAGCTCCCTGGAGGGCCTGGGTTAGGGTAACCTTTCACCTTAGGCCTTGGTTCCTTCAAGAGCATGCATTTCCTCTACTTCTGTTCCCTCTACCCATTTCTGTCATTTCTTAGGGAAAGTGGTCTTGGGATGGTGATCTTAGGGGCAACTAGAGAGGATGTTCTAGAAGCTTAGTACAAAATGCATTTCCAGGACAGTGGTACAGAACACTGGAGACAAATGGATTCCTATGTGGCCTCTAGCAGGCACTCCCTTCCCTCTGCCTTGGCACTTGGCAACCTGTCCACATGCTCCCAAGTGCTGGGATTACAACCATGCTCCACCACACCCGTCTTACAGAGCGCTACAAAAGGAACTCAGGCTTCGTGCATACTAAGCAAGCACCCTACCAAATTGAACTACATCCCTATCCCTTCATGTGCTTGCTTTAAAAGGTCAGAAGGGAGCTTTGGCCATATAAGAACTTAGGTTTAGTGACATTTGCCAACCCCTTTTTATACATGAGATAAGAGATTTTTATAACCAACAGGGAAGGGGGCGTCTATCCTTGGTGGGAGCCAGAACTCAGCCATATTCTGAAAGAAGGGATGTGACCTTTACATGGGGGTCGGGAGGGGGTGGCAGGGTAGCTCGGTGTATTCCTTCACTTTTGTGTGCTACTTCCATATACTGTCTGTCCACTAAGTCCTCAACAGGTACAGACCTAGGTGCCACGGAAGCTGAGCCAGCACAGCTCCAAATTCACACTGGGGGTGGTCCCTGAGCCAGCCTCCCCGACACCCTGGATGTGGTGAACAGACACACCAGTGCCCATTCCTGCTTAGTCATCAGGTGACCTTTCCCAAGGTCATTCCTATGTCCTAGCACAACACCCAACTAACTAGTACCATCTCCTTGGCAGAGGGGAGGCAGCGGGGGCTCCTGTCACTTGTCTTCAGAGCTAACGTGGCTGGGCTGCCTGGTGGGCAGAGCAGGGAGGAAGAAGAAGCAATAAGAAATCCCCTGCCTCCCTGTGCGACCTTGAAGGAAAGACAGAAAATCATCTGGAGAAGGCGAGCTTCATCTTCAAAGGCAAATGGCCACATTGTCCACAGTGACACACAGTCACCAAGCCACAGCACCCTTCCTCGGTGTTTTGGCACTTGAAGGCTCCATGGAGAATGCAAAGGACAAGATGTGGCTCACCTTCAAATGTTAGATCTGTCAGAGGAGGAAAAAACAAGGTATAAATAGATCGCAGGTGAAGAAGGCATCTGTAGACATCAAATTCTCACAGAAATGTGTCAATGTGGCTCACAGAATCACCGGAGGGCTGCCGAGAAGAGGTGGGCTTTGGGCAGGTTTGAGAGATGGGCAGAGGGCCGGGCACCTGTCTCTTACTGGTAATTCCAGCATGCAGCAGGCTGAGACGGGAATGGTGAGTTCGAGACCAGCCTGGGTTATATAGGTGGTCCTGGACTGTATGAGAACAGCAGCTGGATAAAAAAAGCAGGAGAGGCAAGCCACACTCCGCCATGGTCTCTGCTCAGTTCCTGCCTTCAGGTTCCTGCTCTGAGCTCCTGCCCTGGCTTCCTTTATGGTGGACTGAACCTATAGGATAAATCCATGAACTCTTTTCTCCCCAAGTTGCCTTTGGTCATGTATTTCCGACAGTCACAGAAAACAAACTGAGATAAAGCCTAGCCCTCACTCTGGGCCATGCTCTGCCCAGACATTTGGATGGGATTCGGTAGCTAACCAACAAATTCGCGTGGCAGAGAGGATCTTTGAATGCGATGAATAAGGGAAAATTTCCATTCACTCCATAATTCATACTGGAGAGACGCCTGATGAATACAGGGAGGGAGGCTGTTCCTTGGATGGAGGCAAGCAGCCATAGAGGGGAAAATCACAGGGTGGATACAGCACCCGAATAGGCTCGAACCCACGTCAGAGCTCATCACTCTGGAGCCCATCACAGGAGACAGCGCACATCCTCCACGTGTGGAAGTGGAGCTCCGAGGGGCCCACGGCTCCCAGCAACGTCACATGAGCCATTTGGAGTGAAAGCCTTTGAATGGGATGAATCGGGCGGGGGTGGTGATGGTTCATAAGACAATCAAGTCTTATTCATCAGCTGAAGGTTCCGGCTGGGGAGAGGGTGGATGCTTGTCATCAGTGACGAAGCCCCGGGGGCGCTCCCATCTCACACGACAAGGATAGCAAAGACGGGCCGAGGACAGTGATGGAGCCTTGGAGCACTTGTGACCTAAAGTGCTCACACAGGAGGAAAGCATGACGGAGGAGACCGATTTAGAAGGGGTCTTGATGGCCCTCGTGAGGCAGAGAGCCAGGTGCGGCCGTGGAGGCCTGCGATCCCAGCACTTGGGAGACCTGGGCCAAACCAGTTTGCGAGGAGCCGGTGGGGTGGCTCGGTGCGTAAAGGCACTTACCACCAAAGCTGGAGGGCCTGAGTTCAATCCCTGGGTCCTACCAGGAGGAAGGAGAAAACTGACTTCAACGAGACGGCTTCTGACCCCCACATCCACACAGTGGGATGTGCTCCACCCCCCAAATAATTAAGTGTAATTAAAAGAAAGTAGTATAAGTAAATAATTGATTTCAAGAGAGTTTGGGCCAAGCCTCAGCTACACAGAGCCTCTACCTCAAAATTAGGAAGGCAGTTGAGTTAACAGGACGCTTGTCTAGCACGCACAGGGTCCCGGGTTCCATCCGCAGCACCACATAAACCTGGCATAAGGATGCACTCCTGTGACCTCAGCATTTGGGCGGTAGAGACAGGAAGATCGGGGGTTCAAGGTCATCTGTAATTATAAAGAGAGTGAGGACAGCCTGGGCACCAGGAGACCCAGGAAGGCAGGCAGGCAGGGAGGGAGGGAGAGCAGAAACAGAACAGAAAGGCTAGGTTTCAAGTACTGAACCTTTGGGACAGAGGTCTCCAGATGAGACACAGCCCTGCACAGGTGACCCCTGGGGTCCACTAAGGGTCCTCAACCCTGTACAGGAGAGAAGAATCCAGGCTCTGAGGTTCCAGAAGCTTCCTTCCCCCTCTGGGCTACATGCTTTCTTCAGTCCCTCTCTCCTCTTCTTTCCTCAGGAAAATCTGGCTCCTCTCTTCAGTTCCTTGCCTAGGCCTTGTGAGGGCTCCTAACACCAGAAACTCCAGGCACTCTGCCTGCCCGCAATAGGCAGGAAGGCCTGGCCAGCTGTGTGTTCTGGAAGCGGCTGCTGCTATGGCTGGCTGAGGCGTGACAAGTATCTTCAGGGCGCCTGTCCTGTCCAGTAGTGCTAGTACACAAGACAAGGAAGAAGGCAGTGTGAGCTCCAAGTGGTGCTCTTGGGATTCGAGGGGTACCTGCGTCCAGAGGTTGCAGATAAGGGTTTGGGAGAGAGAGAGAGAGGAAGAACTGTGGCATGATGGCTGCCATGGGGGGCGGGGAGGGCCAGGCTGCGCTTGTTTCCCACAGCAGCCCTGCAAGCTCAGCCATGGACTCTGCGCGGATCAGAAATCAAGCTGGGTGTGGCGATGTAGGCCTGTAACCCCAGCACTTGGGGAGGCTGAGGCAGGAGGATCTTGAGTTCCAGGCCAGTGCGGTGGCTCAGGCTTGTAATCCTAGCCCTGAGGAGAATAATAGGGGAGGTTTGGGGGTTCAAGGCTGGCATCAGTTATGTCATGAGTTTGAGGCTAGCATGGGTTATGTGAGATCCTGTTTCAAAAACACAACAACAATAACGAACAGACAAAAACAAAAACAGATACAAAAACCAAACAAAAGGAAGAAAATAAGAGACATGTGTAGTCTGTAAGTGGCAGAGTCCACACCGGAGGCTATTGAAGCTATCTTAGACCAAACCACACGGTCTCTCTATCACCAAAAGGGACGAGGGGCAGAATTGGCGACACCACTACTGGGGATGAATTTCTAGAGACTCGTTGGGCACTGGGAGGTCACGTGAACGGGAAGGTCAAGGGTGAAACAGACGCACCCACGGAGCACACCTCTCCCGAGCCTCACAGGGGAACCGGGAGCCGCGGTGCTGGAGAAGTGAACAGATAGGCCTGACCCCAGGCTCTCCAGGGACTCCTGTTCTAGAAGGGAGGCAGAGAATCCAGCTTGCTAAGTGTTTTTCAAGTGGATGTACTGGGCCTCGGGGGAGAATTACATCATCTGACACCATGGAGTCCGCAGAGACTTCTGGGAAGGTGATCTCTGGTGAAATGCAGAAAGAACCTTCCAGGAAGTGCCTGGCAAGATCTGATGCTGACGGACAAGTGTGGGGGCGGCTGCAGGAAGCCTAAGGTAGTCAGGAAACAGAGGAAGCTGGGTATGGCGGGGCATGCCTGGAACCCCAGAGCCGCAGAGGCAGAGGCACAAGGCTAATCTGAAAGCTTGAGGCCATCCTGGGCTACATCGTGAGTTCCAGGCCAGCCAGAGCTTTGTAGTGAGACCCTGTCTTAAACACAAAACCACCACCAAACAAACCCAAAAGACAAAGAAAGAAAACATGTAGAGGGAGATGAGGAGGGATGAGGTCTGCGTGGCCCAGTGACCCTGGTAAGGTGCTCTGACTCAGTCCTTGGAGTGGGGAGGCAGCGGAGGGTGTTAGGTCGAGGGGAGCAGTCTGGGTGGCCCTATTAGCTCCATCATCTAGGTTTTCCTTTAAAGCCCAAGGCTGCAAAATGAAGGGACATCCGTCAAATGTAGGCAGCGCCAGGGAACGAGTGAGCTCTCTTTTTCCTCACAAGCCAAGGTGTGTGAGTGAGTGTGTGTGTGAGAGTGTGTGAGTGTGTTTGTGAGAATGTGTGTGTGTATGTGTGTGAGTGTGTATGTGTGTGAGAACTGTGAGTGTGAGTGTGTATGTGAGTGTGTATGTGTGAGAGTGTGTGTGTATGAATGTGTGTGTGTGTTTGTGTGTGTGTGTGTGTGTATGTGTGTGTGTGTACAACCTTGGGTATTGTTCCTCAGGCACCATGCATGTTCCTTTCCTCCCTCTCTAAGTTATTTACTTATTTTATGTGCAATGGTGTTTTGCCTGCATGCGTGTCTGTGTGAGGGGATCCGACAGAATCCCCTGGAACTGGAGTTGCAGACAGTTGTGAGCTGCCATGTGGGTGCTGGGAATTGAACCCGGGTCTTCTGGAAGAGCAGCCAGTGCTCTTAACCACTGGACCATCTCTCCAGCCCCAACCTTGTCTCTCTAGGCAGGGTCCCTATGTGGTCAACCATTAGGCAAGGCTGGCTGGTCAGCAAGGCCAGGGGTCCCCCTGCCCACCTCTCCGTTGTTGGCACTACGAGCCTGAGGCCACCAGCTGGCCTTTTGTGGGGTTTCTGGGGATCCAAGGCAGGTTCTGTGCTTGTGAGGCAAGCTCTTTACCAGTGGAGCTACCCAATTAACAAGAGTCCTCCCTCTCAACAGGATCTCACTAAGCACCCTGTCTGCCTGTCCTAGAACTCTCTATGCAGATCAGGATTGCCTCAGACTCAGAGATCCGTCCACCTGCCTATGCCACTGTGTGAGCTCGAATGCCCAACTCCCAAGGTTTCTTGGAGGTACAGAGAGCAGAGTGAGCTGAGGGCAGCTCAGGGTGACCTGGATAAAACAGTCACCTGTTTCTGTCCCTGGAGAAGGCTCCGAAGGACATGCAGATCAGGTGCCCCGGCTGCTGTTCGCAGTAGGCTTTGTGGGGGACATTCATGGGCAAATGTCGCCCCCTTGTGGCTGAGAGCAGTATTGCCCAGAAGAGCAAGACGGCTAAAGACAGGCCCAGTGTTTCCAGTGACGTCAATGCCAGGGCTGCAGGCGCTAGCGGCCTGAGATTCCTCTTTTAAGGGTGACTAATGAGGAAAACGTATAAACATACACACGCATATTCATCTAGTCAGCAAGTGTTCCAAAGGTATTCAAATGTCAGCCATGATTCTTCACGACTGCAAACTAGACTTTTCTCACGTTATTATTTTCACGTTTGTTATTAATAGGAAAAATGTAATACAGAAATTTTTAAAAGAGAAGAAGTGAGCTAGTGAGATGTCTCGGTGGGTAAAGGCACATGCTGTGTAAATCTGACAACCTGAGTTTGATCCCTGGGACCCACAGTAGAAAAAAAAGAGCCAACTCTCAAAAGCTGGTATGTGTAAGCCTACAGGTGAGTGTGTGCACACACACACACACACACACAATACCAACCCCCTAAACACACAAAGGTCACAAGCAATAGAACACTGGCCCCCAGGGGGAACGTAAGTGGGAGCCAGGCTGCTGAAACGTGAGCTGATGCTGGTCTGTGAACCACCATTCAGGGCAGCTTCCAGTTCCCTTCCTTCCAAACCAGGCTGGTCACAAAGCCCGGTTCCAGATGAATGGTTGCCCACTAGACCTCTCTGTGTTCTTTGGGACCCTTCAGCTCACGCACCTGCCAAGGGGAGAGGCTGCCCTTACTGTATGGTCCTGAACTTCCCTGGGTCTCCAAAGCATCACATGTAAAATATCTTTCCCACAAAGTTACAGGGAAGATTATATAAACTATAAAAATGTGCTGTTGCAGCCGGGCAGTGGTGGCACACACCCTTTAATCCCAGCACTTGGGAAGCAGAGACATGCAGGTCTCTGTGAGTTCAAGGCCAGCCTGGTCTACAGAGCGAATTTCAGGATAGCTAGGGCTACACAGAGAAACCCTGTCTCAAGAAAAAAAAAAAAGAAAGAAAGAAAAAAAAAAAGGGTTGTTGCAAAAATCTCTCTGTCTCTCTGTGTGTGTGTGTGTGTGTGTGTGTGTGTGTGTGTGTGCGTCTGAGAAAAGGGGGGGTCAATGAACATGGGGTGGGGGCCGGTGAGATGCCTCAGTGGGTAAAACTGCGTGCTGCGCAAGCCTGGAGACCTCAGTTGGATCCCTAACACCTGTGTAAAAAAGCCCAGTGGGGTGGTGTGAGCGTCTGTAACTCCCAGAGAGAAGATGAGAGGCAGAAGACAGGAAGGAGGCTTGGCTGGAAGCTCGGGGGCCACCTAACCTGGGTTCCCAAGCATGGAAGAGACAAGAGACACCCTCCTCAACAAGGGGAAAGGACCAGCCCCTACAGGCTGTCTTTTGACTTCTGCATGTGCTATGGCATATGCGTGCTTCTTTATCTTTCTCTCAGAAACACACACACACACACACACACACACACACACACTGAACAAAATAAAAATCACATGTAAATAAGCTGAATCGAAACAAGCTTGCTGAAGTTCAGCCGCACACTGACACTCCAGTCTAGGTTGGGAAGGTGAGTCAGAGCCTCGTCACCCGGCAGGGACCTGGAGCCAAGGCCAGACTTCCACGTCCAACCCTGGTCAGCCCCTATATCGAGCCCATCAGTTTGGTTGTTCAGAGGGCATCTTGGGTCAATCTTCCATCAGGGTGGACCTGCTGTGGCACAGGGCCAGACACAATAAAAGGGACAGGAGTCTTGTCATCTGAGCTCAGGAGGCCTCCAGTCTGTGGCCCCTTCCATGGAGCTGGACCATCAGGGGAACCCCTGACTTCTTGTCTTCTTTTCTCACTAAGTGGCCCAGACAGGCCTCGAACTTGTGGTCCTCCTACCCCAGCCTCCCGAGTTCCGTGATTGCATGTGCATCATCAGGCCTGGCTCCCAGTCATCTTCTTTTCTCTTCTTCTGCTCCTCCCCCACCACACCTCTCTCTTTCCCTTCTTTTGGACACAGGGTCTCACTATGTAGCTCTGGCTGGCCTACAACTCACTATGAAGACCAGGCTGGCCTCGAACTCACAGAGATCCACCTTCCTCTGCCTCCCCAGGGCTGGGATTGCAGGCACGGCCCCACACCCAGCTCTCAGCAAGGAGGCACCGGCTGCGGTCTTTTTACAGCGTCTCTCTGAAAGCTCCCTGCAGACTGGGTGCAACTGTGAGTCAAGCCTATGACAAGCCTGAAATTGCCCACAGACCCCAAATGGGGTGTTCCAGGGACTGACCACGAACACAGGGTCTCCATGTGCACAGCACCTGTGGATTACCCTCAAGCGTGGTTTTCTGCCGGGTCAGACAGTGGTGTGGGGGGGGAAGGCCTTTCCACAATTTGTGGAATTACTGAGATGTCCTCCGAAGGCTCACCTTCTGAATGCTCAGTGTCTGGCATGGGCTGCTATTTGTATATTTATTTTTATATGTACATGTGTGAGGAGGCAGGCCACATGAGTGCCAGTGTCTGAGAAAGCCAGAAGAGGCCATCAGAGTGCCTTGAGCCGCCAATGTGGGTGCTAAGAACCAATTCCAGCCCTCTGTAAGAGCAGGAATGCTCTGCTGAGCCATCTCTCCATCTCTTGTGCTATCTTGAAGGCTGTGGGATTTGCAGGTGATGGGGCCTGGCGGATGGAAGTAGGTCACTGTGGGCAGGCCTCTGAGGACTATACCCACTTTCGGTTCCAGTCTACCTTCCGTACCCACCACCATATGGGAAGTCTCTGCCACACACTCCTGCGCCCCTGAGCTCTGCCCCGACTTCTCTGCCAGGATGGACTGAATCCTCTAGGTGCTTTTCAACCCTCCTGATGCTGCGACCCTTTAATACAGCTCCTCAAGTTGTGGTGACCCCGACCACAACCTCATTTCTTTGTTACTCCATAACTGTGATTTTGCTACTCTTATGAATCGTAGTGTAAACATCTGATATGTAGGATATCTGATAGGTGACCCCGTGAAAGGGTCGTTTGACTCCCTAAAGGGGTTGCGATCCACAAGTTGAGAGCCACTGGTCTAAACCATAAGCCTAAATAAGCCCTGCTTTCCTTTAGCTATTTTCTGTCAGGCATTAAACAATTTAAACTTGTGTGTGTGTGTGTGTGTGTGTGTGTGTGTGTGTGTGTGTGTGCAGGTCACTGTGTGTCAAGTCCTTTGGAGCCGGGGTTGCAGGTGGTTGTAAGCCAATCAATCTGGGTGCTGGGACCCAGACCCGGGTCCTCTGCAGGAGCAGCAAGTACTCTCAACTACTGGGCCGTCTCTCCAGCCCTGTCAGGTATCTTGGCCAAGGGACAAGAAAAGTACTTCACACTCGGGGCTCACTCTTTCTCCCCCAGGCAATGGAGGAGTGGCACCCCTGGAAGACAGGCTGGTTTCCCCAGAACCTCTTGCTTACACAGACACTCTCCATCAGACCTGCGAATGCTACCTGGCACTAGGCACACGCGTCACACCAATGGGTCCGACTGGAACAAGGAAGGGGCTTACCTGGATCACTCTTCCCTCTTCCAGCCTGCTTGGATCTCCTCTCCCAGGAATGATATGGCTCAGTTTTCTCTCCAGGAGATCTTGAAGCCAACAGAAGGTACCTGAACGCGCCGCGATGTTCAGCATGGGTGCTGCGAGGCCTCTCCAGAGCTTCTGCTGGAGGTCCCTCATGGATTAACTTCCAGAAAGTCCCAATTCGAGGTGAGCTCTTTGGTCTAAAAAACAGAACATTCAAATGGGTTCTATTACCTCACGGTCCACGAATAAGTCCTTTCCCTTCTGGACCCACCAAGTAACCATGGAGTACAGTACAACAATGGGATGTGATTGGTATAATTTTGTTTGTTTGTTTGTGTTTTGTTTTTCAAGACAGGGTTTCTCTGTGTAGCCTTGGCTGTCCTGGAACTCACTCTGTAGACCAGGCTGGTCTCAAACTCAGAGATCCGCCTGCCTCTGCCTCCCGAGTGCTGGAATTAAAGGCGTGCGTCACCGCCACCAGTAAATGGCACAGTCTCAAGGGATCAGAGTTCTTGTTTGCTTGTTTGAGACAAGGTCTCCGGTAGCCCAGGCTGGCCTTGAACTCTTTATAGCAAGGATGCGATATATATGTTTTTTGAAAGACAGTGATTTTCTGGGTAGCCTTGGCTGTCTTAGAATTCACTATGTAGATCAGGCTGGCCTTGAAATCCACCTGCCTCTGCCTCCCAAGCACTGGGATTAAAGGTGTGCGCCACCACCACTCAGCACCAAGGATGTTCTCGAGCCTCCAATCCTCCTGTTTCCGTCTCCCAAACACTAGGATTGCAGGTGTGTAGGTGTGTACCACCACCCCCAGTTTACGTACTGCAGGGATGGAAACCAGGGATTTGTACATGCTAGGTAAGCACCCCAGGAACTGAGCTACGTCCCTAGCCCTTAGTTACTTAATGATCCATCCATACTATGCCACAGTCACAGTCACAGTCACAGCAAGAAATATTTTGGAGACAGAGTATCACTCTGTAGCCCTGGCCGGCTTAGACTTCTCTAGGTAGACCAGACTGATCTTGAACTCACAGATATCTGCCTGCCTCTGCCTCTGAGTGCTGGGATTGAAGGTGCAATCTACCATGCCTTTTTTTTTTTAAAGACTATTTTTAAAAAATATTTATTTATCTGTGTGCATTTGTGTCCGAGTGTATATGCAGAGGAAGCAGGGCCTCTCCCTGAACCTGGGGCTCATGATTTCTCAGCTAGGCTGGGAGCCAAGGAGTCCCAGCAGTCCTCCTGTCTCTGACCCCTTGGGGCTAGGGTTGCAGGCACGAGTGTGATACTCAGCTTGTTGCGCAGGTGCTGGGATCTGACCTCTGGTCCTCATGCTTGAGTAATAGGAACTCTTAGAACTCTTAACTGCTGAGTTATCTGTCCAGGCCCTCCCCCACCCCAACCCTGATCCTCCTGCCTCAGTTTCGGGGTTAGAGCAGGTTATGGACTATGATGATCTCAGAGAGATTCTGACTTACTTCCATTTTCTTTTCTAGGCTCATTTGGTTTCTTTCTTTCTTTCTTTCTTTCTTTCTTTCTTTCTTTCTTTCTTTCTTTCTTTCTTTCTTTCTTTCTTTCCTTCCTTCCTTCCTTCCTTCCTTCCTTCCTTCCTTCCTTCCTTCCTTCCTTCTTTCTTTCTTTCTTTCTTTCTTTCTTTCTTTTTTTTCTTTTGGTTTTTCAAGACAGGGTTTCTTTGTGTAGCTTTGGAGCCTGTCCTGGAACTCACTCTGTAGACCAGGCTGGCCTCAAACTTACAGAATCTGCCTGGCTCTGTCTCCAGAGTGCTGGGATTAAAAGCGTGCACCACCACATCCATGAGAAAGCTCGCCAACTACAGTTTCACATCTCTGGGGTGGGGTGAGGAAGGAGGAAGACTCTGAGGAGAGGGAGGACGGGACCTATGAAGGGTTTGATGAGAATAACTCAGCTCTGCTGACCACCCAGTGGAGGGTGTGGCTGACAGGTGCTCGCGAAAGTGTGACTGGCACGTGAAGAGGTGCTGATGGCCTCCCAGGGCAGAGTCCTGGTGCTCAGGCAGGCAGCAACTGCTGCTGTGAGACAGGGTGGAGGCTGCGCAATCTTAGGAGGACTTGGGTGGCAGCTGTGGGGTGAGACCCGGGGCAACTGCAGGAGATAATGGCAGAAGAGGCAGGAAGGCTGGGCTCCACACTGCTGCCGGGCAAAGAGCGAGTGCCAATAATAAAGAGGAATGAACCGAACGGGTGACTCTCTCCTGTGATCCCAAGCTTCGGGAGCTGAGGCAGAAGAACCACAGTTTGGGGTCAGCCTAGTCTCCACAGTGAAGCCCTGTCTTACACACCCCCCCACAAGAAAACATCAATAAAAAGAACTTCCATATGTTAGCACACTGTAATTTATAACGTCCTTTTAAACCTACTACTTATTTGATATATCATCTGGGCATCAAGATCAAACTCAAGGCTTTGTGTGTGTTAGGTAAGGGCTCTACCACTGAGCCACACCCCAGCCCCTCACTGGGGGATTCTAGGCAGGTGCTCTACCACTGAGCCACACCCCCAGCCCCTCACTGGGGGATTCTAGGCAGGTGCTCTACCACTGAGGCACATTCCAGATCTGTTATTTTGTCTGATATTCATATACAGAGAGCCAGAGGCTCAGAGAATTTAAAGGACTTGCACCAGCCTGTACAGCTGCACACAGGGAGCCACAGCCTGCCTCTAGCTAGCTGGTGGCTGTGCATCACTGGGCTGGGCAGGTAGAGAATGGCTCTAGTCAACACACTAAAACCACTGAGAATCTGGAGATTTCCACACACCCGGGGATTAGCAGGATAAATGCTGCTCCAGTACTGGAGAAGGGCCCTGACCACCATTAGAAGCTGAACCACGTGGACTGGTCCTGAGAGGGTGTGGCTAAAGTGACTCTCATCCAGCTGTGTCCCAGCTGTGTCCCAGAGTTGCACTACACAGCTCAAACTGACCTCAAACTCCCACCAACGCTCTGCCTCTGCCTCCCAAGGTGCTGGGATCGTCAGTGTGAAGCCCCACACCCAGCTTGGGTCTACTGTTTTCATCTGCAGCCTCTCCTCCCGGAATAGGCTCTCCCAGGACAAAGGAACTGGCTAGTCCCCAGGGACACCTCCCGGAAATGGAGTCCAGGCTCCGTGAAGCAAAGGAGAGATACCAGTGTCGCCCACAAACCTGCTCCGGAGCCACCCTGCGGCGTGCGGGTCGCCTAGAAAGCTATCAGATGGCAAAGGGGGAAAGCCTCATAGAGGTCCTAAGGCAACTCTTGGGGGATGGAGGTCACAAGCCACATAAGGATAGAGAGAGGAGGGCCGCCCCGCTCCCACGATCACCTCAGGACCCTCTCCGATTTCTAATCCAAAGTGGGCTCATAGGGTGGAGTGAGGACCACACCAGGTCCTTATAGATCTCAAAGCCGAGCGAGAAGGGTTCAACTGCTTTCCAGGCCTGGCCAGGGGGCACGGACGCCGGTGGGTCCTGTTCTTACCATGGCTCCAAGAACACATCTGAAGCTCATGATGCAGATCTTGTTTCCATTGTACAGGTGTCTGTCCTGTGTTCCAGAAGCTTCCCGAACCATCAAGAATGCTAGAACATCGGGAACGCTAAAAGAAATAGGAGCTATCAGGGTGGACATAGGCCCGTGTTTACCCCCCTTTCCTTCCTCTCTCTTCTCTCCCCACCTCTCTCTTTCATGATTTAGCTAGGTAAGTCCTTGCATTACAGGCACAGGACACTAAAGGTTTTTTGTTGGTCTTATATATCCCAGGCTGGCCTCGAACTCACTACGACGTAGCCGAGGCTAACCTTGAACTCCTGATCCTCTCTCTCTTGCCTCCACTTTCCAAGTGTTGGGATTACAGGCAGGCACCATCCCACCTAGTGTATGTGGTGCTGTGGATGGAACCCAGAGCTTGGTGTATGCTAGGCGAACACTGTCTGCACCACAGCCCCAGCCCTACTTCCTCCTTTTTAAGAAAATTGTTAGATCCCAAACATAGACCAGGCTGGCCTCGAACTCTCAGAGATCTGTCTGCCTCTGCCTCCCGAGTGCTGGGATTAAAGTTGTGCACCACAATGCCCAGCTTGTTTTTAGTTCTTTTTTTTTTTTTTTTTTTTTTTTTTTTTTTTTTGGTTTTTCGAGACAGGGTTTCTCTGTGTAGCTTTGCGCCTTTCCTGGAACTCGCTTTGGAGACCAGGCTGGCCTCGAACTCACAGAGATCCGCCTGGCTTTTTGATAGGGTCTTTACACAGCCTTTCACTATGATGGTCAGGCTGGTCTTGAACTTGTGGCAACTTCCCACCTCTGCTTCTGGAATCATGGGTGTGTGCCGCTGTGTGCTCCCCCTACCTCTTCCCACCCGGCGTATTTTTCTTTATTAATGATTTCCTTTGTATTATTTTTATTTATGTGCATGTGTACATGTTTGTGAGTCCAGAAGAGGGCATCAGATCCCTTGGATATGGAGTTACAGGTGGTTGTGAGCCACCCAATGTGGATGCTGGGGTCCGAACTCAGATTTTCTCAAGAGCAGCATGCACTCCTAACTGCTGAGTCATTTCTCTGCCCCTAGTTTTTTTCTTTTTGTTTTTGTTTTTAACAGCTTTCTGGCTAGAAAAGTAATGTTTATTTACTACAAATACCTACTACTAAATAATAATAATAAAAACTTACAGCCTTATAAAATGTTCAAAGACAGGGTTCCTGTAGCTTTACAAGAACACTTGCTTAGTATGTGAAAGTCCCTGGATTCACCCACACTAGAAAAAAAAAGTATAAAGGAAATGCCCTTCATAATCTTCTCTCTCAAGAGATAATCTAAATTACAATTATTCAAATTTTAATATGGCTTGAAAATCTGGAAAGCTTTAAAGGAGCTGTAATCTGCATATATGTAAAGGCAGTACATTTGGGGGGGGGGGGCTGTTGGGATGGTGCCGTCAAACGGCAGAGTTGGAACTCCAGAACCCACGCTCAAATGCTGGCTCTCACGTTTATATATGAACCGGTGCACGTGGAGGTCAGAGGTCAACCCTGGGTGTCCTTCCTGTCACTGTCCTTGTTTTTGAGACCTGTTCTCTCGATAGCTTCACGATCCCTGACTTGGCTGGCGTGGCTGGCCAGCGAGTGGGCTCTCGAGATCTGCCTGTGGTTGCTTCCCCGGCGCGGCATTGGGACTACAAGTGTGGCCCGTTATGATTGGCTTTGTGATGTGGGTCCTGGGGACTGAAATCAGGACATCAGGCTTGGTGGCAAGCACTTTCCCCCACCAGGCACCTCACTGCTCCCACTCCTGTTTATGTGGAGAGGGGACAAGGTTTCACTCTGTAGTCCTGCCTGGTCTGGATCTTGCTATGTAGATCAGCCTAGCCTTAAAAGAGCCTTGATCCTCCTGTCCTGCCTCCTGAGGACTGGAATCAGGAATGTGCAACCAGCCTGGTGCTTTTTGTTGTTGTTGTTTTGGTTTTTTGCCTGTAATCCCAGGACTGGGGGAAGCTGAGGCAGGAAGATCGCCCCAAGTTCCAAGCCAGCCTAGGGTCACATATACAGACGGTATTTCAAACAAACAACAAACAAAACCCTGAAAAACCAAGAGAGGTGGTGAGATAGCTCAGCAGGTAAATGTGGTCCCTGCAAAGCTTGGCCTATGAGTTCAGGCCCCAAGACCCACATGGCCAAAGGAAAGAATCAATTCCTGAACCCAGAACAGATACTTTAAAAAGAAGAAAAAGCAACCTAAAAAACTATTATTTACTGGAGTGTTGCCGTTGTTTGCTCTTAGAAGGAAACGGCTCCCGAAGCACTGCAGACGTGTGGTCTGTCCGCCCCCCAGCTGGACTGTCGATTTGAGGTACATTATTGACTCTGACCCCAGCTCTCTCTTCTGTAATAGAGGACGACTGTGGCTGGGGCAGCACCCATCGTTATTTATTGTGTGTGTGGTATATGCTCACGTCTGGGTGCAAGCTCGTGTGTACCTGCACACTCGCAGTCGTATTCCCTAGAGGCAGGGTCCTTCCTAAACCTGAGGCTAAGCTGGCTAGGCTGGCGGCCCGCAAGCCCCAGCGATCCTTTGGTCTCCGATCCCACAGCGCTGGCGTACCGGGTGGGTGTGTCCATGCCCAGGTTTTTGTTGACGTTATTGTTTTGTTTTAACGTGGGTGCTGGGGATTCGAACTCAGGTCCTCGTGGTTGCACAACAAGCGCTCTTATCCCCCGAGTCATCTCCCCAGCCAAAGGGCCGCATCTAAACGCTCCACTCTGGCCCTTTCTATGGGTTCGCTCTGATCACCAGGACTCATTTTGCTATTCCGGACAAAATGAAGGAACCTGAACGGTTTCAAGACCGGAGAGGTGGCAAGCACGACACCCGGCTCAGGGCCCGGTTTCCTGCGCATCCAACCCCGGTCTGGGCCTGATATCCCGGCTGAAAATCCTCACCGTGTAAGGTTGATCCGAGCCGCAAACACCTGCGGAGCCGCGGAGCCCCGGTCCCCGCCACGGACAGCAGCTAACGGCAGCTGATCGTGCCTAAAACTACATTTCCCAGAGCTCTCCGCGGCAAGCCGGTTACAGGGCGGGCTCGCGACAGGAAACTCATTGGCTTCGCGGTCGTTGGCGGCCCGCAAGGTGCTCTTCCGCAGACCTGTCACTAACCCTCACAGCTGCCATCCGTCTGTTCGCGCGCTCGCCGTCACTAGACGGGAGGAGGTGGAGGAAGACAAGCTGCAGCCTGTAAGGGAACGAAAACTACATCTCCCAGAATGCTCCGGCACGCACGGCTTCCTGTTTTGAGGAGCCGCACCGATGACCGGCCTCCGGAAACCGGCGAGTGAAGAATCAGAATCCAGAAGAGAGGAACGAGGAAGGACAGAATACGATATTTGATTTAAACAATGCTGACGAGTACAGCGCCTCTTTTTCTCCCCACGGATGCTCAGGGCCAGAGCAAAGGGCGAACAGCCCTCTGGGAAGTGCAAATGAAACTGCCTGGGGAACTATGGGAAATGTAGTCCATTGATCACTAGCCAACCATTTAAAGGGTTAAAATTCTTCCGCTTGCATCTTGACTATTCAAACACAGAATTTGCCTCATAAGTACTTAGAGTAATTAGTACTCATAAGTCCTTTTTTAATGTCAACCCTCGGAGCTGCATTCAGACACTGCATTTCCTAATTGGAGCTTGTACCTGGCTAGTCTGTCTTCAGCCATCTTCTCGGTTGATTGTACGCAAAGGCAGCCCAAAGTAACCCCTGGCTAATAAAATTGATAGACGCACTTCATAGCTTGTACGGTAAACAATTCTGTAGGAATAAAGCTTAAGAACTGCTAATGGCTTATTTGTTCTGAGTTCATCTTCAATCTAGATGTCCACTCGAGGACAGGCACAAGAACGCAAGGCTTTGGTATGTGAATCTTCCCCCGCCACACACCGAGGGACAATAATTACGGAGAGTGGACTCTCAAGAGACAATGCCAACCACCTGACCAGAGGGGCAAGACTAAAGTTGGGATGACTGATGGCCTTATACTCTGCAGGCTAGCCCATGGAATCAGATGCCCTCTTCTGGCCTATGTGTGTGCAGGTGCAGAAGCTGGTGCGTGTGCCTGCAGTCCAAAGGTCCATGCCATGTCTTCTTCAATTTCTTCAATCACTCTCCTGTCTTTTTTTTTTTTTTTTTTTTTGGGCAGGGTTTTTCTGTGTAGCTTTGCGCCTTTCCTGAAACTCACTCTGTAGCCCAGGCTGGCCTCGAACTCACAGAGATCCGCCTGCCTCTGCCTCCCGAGTGCTGAGATTAAAGGCGTGTGCCACCACCGCCCGGCCTGTCTTTTTTTTTTTTTTTTTTTTTTGAGATAGGGTCTCTCACTGAATCTTCAGCTTACTGGTTTGCTAAACGGGCTGGCCAGCAAACTACTGAGATCCTCCTGGCTTTGCCCCACCCCCCTCCCAGGAGTGCCTCAATGCCTGGCTTTTGTGCGAGTGCTGGGAATCTGAACTCTGCCCTTAAGCACTTTAGCACTAAGCCATCTCTCCAGTACCTCCATCATATATATATATATATATATATATATAATCAATTTGGCTAACTGGCGGTCAGCAGGTGTTGGGGATCTGTCCATCTCTGAAATTGCAGGAAATCACTATCATGCCAGGTTGTACGTGAAGGCTATGGCTCTGAACTCAGGTCCTCATGTTCTCACAGCAGATGCTGTATTGACCCGGCCATCTCCCCAGCTTCCAAAGAGAAGCTTATCATTCTTAACAGACTGGGCAATTTAATTTTTCTTTTTTAATGTGTAAGAGTGTGTGCCTGCATGCATGTATGTGTACCACATGCATGCAGTGCCCACAAAGGCCAGAAGAGGGCATCAAACCCTCTGGAGCTGGAATTACAGATGTTTGTAAGCTGCCCAGTGGGCGCTGGGACGCAAACCCAGGTCTTGGCTAAGAGCAACAAGCATGCCTGAGTCACCTCCAGCCGTTTAGTTTTGGTTTTTAAAATGGAGACCTAGGGATATCCTCCTGCCTCTGTGTGTACACACGAGCTTGCAAGCCTGCATCCATGTGTATATGCATTATCCACATACACATGGAAAAAAAAACATGGATCTATGTGCTCTGTGACCTGAAAAATCCCGTTAGAGCAATTATCTGTCCCTAAACACAGAGTATAGTGATCTCCAGGGGCTTTGCATGATCAATTTTAAGAAATGGACATTCAAATTACCACATAAGCCAGGCATAGTTTTCTGTACAATGGGCTTCAGAACACTTCCTGTCACCTTTTTGACACAAACATGACACTTGCTCATCCTTCTTGGAGACACTTACAAACCATTTTCTGACTGGGTCCTTATTTACCCCAGTTGACCCCAGAGGCAGTGGTCAGTTCTCTGTTAATGTAGCAAACTACCTGAGGTAACTTTTTTTTTTTTTTGGTTTTTCAAGACAGGGTTTCTCTGTGTAGCTTTGTGCCTTTCCTGGAACTCACTTGGTAGCCCAGGCTGGCCTCGAACTCACAGAGATCCGCCTGGCTCTGCCTCCTGAGTGCTGGGATTAAAGGTGTGCGCCACCACCTCCCGGCCTGAGGTAACTTTTAAGAAAGAGAAGATTGCTCTTTGGTTCATGGTCCCCCAGGTTTCAGTTGGTGGTGCATGCCTTTAATCCCAGCACTGCAGAGGTAAAGGCGGGCAGGTATATGTGAGTTTATGTCTAGCCTGATCTAAAAAGTGAGTTCCAGACCACCCAGGGTTACACAGTGAGAGTTGCCTCTAAAAGAATCCCCACAAACAACAAAAACAGTAACTCTGTTGGCTCACCTAGCATGATAATGACCCTGGGGACACCTTGATTTGGACCCAGTAGGTATCAGTTTTGGATTTCCGACCCCCAGTATTTAGAGTGGAGCCTCACAATGAGAAGAGATCGAGGCAAGATTCTTGCTAATTTATTTTTATTTTCTGTGTCCGTGTGTGTTTCTGAGCACACTTGTGAGCGTGCTGTGGGGCGTGCGTGTGGAGGTCAGAGGACGGTTTGCAGGAGTTGGCTCTTTTCTGCCACTGCGTGGCTTCTGCAGGTCAAACCCAGGTCATCAGGCTTGGCAGCACACACCATCACCCGCTGGGCCATCTCACAGCCTTTTCTTGGTAACATTAGCAACATTCCATCAGGTTACCGAGAATGGTGACTGCGGTGAACGCTGGGAGCAATCCCATTTTCACATTTTCACCAGTGATCTCGTGTATGCTGATTTTGCTTGTCCTCCAGAAACAATCCAGGGTCTCATGTAGCCCAGGCTAGCCTTGAAATTGTTACATAGTTGAGGCTGACTTGAAGTCCTGATTCTCCTGCTTCTACTTCTGACAGCTGTGATTACAAGCATGTGCCCAAATAACAAGCTTCCTTTGTGGGTGCATGTGTGTGCACATGGGTGTGAAGTCCAGAGGACAGCCTTGTAGTCTGTCCTTCAGGTACCACATCTGTTTTCCTTGCATGTGCTTGAGTGTGTGCGTGCGTGTGTGTGTGTGTGTCTTTGCAGGTGCCTGTGTGTGCGTGTGTGCCTTCAGAGGCCCCAAAGTGATGATATCTTCCTCGATCACACTCCACTTTGCTTATAAGTCGAGGTCTCTAGCTGAACCCAGAGTTGGCCGATTCCAGCTCATCCAGCCAGCCAGTCTTCCCCGTGGGTCCCGTCTTTGCCCCTCCTGTACCGGGGTTACAGGCAGCTGCCACACTTGCCTGACTTTGAGTTCTGAGACTCTGAATCCAGCCCACACCTTTTTTTGAGACCGGATCTCTAATAGGCTGGAAGCTCACCATACAGAACAGGCTAGCTGCTGGCTAGCAAGCCTCGGGGATCCGCCTGTCTCTGGCTCCCCAGTGCCGGGATTACGAGTGCACACCACAATGCCCCGCGTCTATACCAGTTTGGGGGACTGAACTTGGCTCCTCAGGCTTGTAAGTCAAGCACTCTACCAACTGAGCCATCTCCCTAACCCCTGGTACTCATTTAAAAAGACACTTGGCATTGTTGATTTTTCTTTCTTTTCAGTTCTGGAAATGGAACGGAAGGTCTCCGCATGCTAAGCTAGTGATCTATTTCTAAACCCAGTCCCTCGCTGGGGGATTCCAAGCACATGCTCCACTGTGGAGCCACACAACTGGCCCACTCATGTGTTGATCCCTCCCCGCTTTGAAAAAATTTGTGTGTATTTGTGTGTGTGGTGTTTTGAAGGAGATGTCCCTCATAGCCTTGGGCATTGAATACTTGCCTCCCAATGGACGGCACTGTTTGGGAGTTTTAGGAGGCGTGGCCTTGCTTAAGGAACGAAGTCTATACACTGGTGTCATTCTCTGCTTGAGCTCTGATGTGTGTCTGTAGCTTGATGTGAGCCTCAGTCTCCTGTCCCTGCTGCCACGTCTCCCTGTCTTGATGAACTCTCATCTCTCTGGAAACTTAAGCCCAGATCAATTCTTCTTAGAGTTGCCTTGGTCATGGTGTGTTTTCACGCAACAGAAAAGTAACTAGTACAGTCTGTGTGAGTATATGCTGTGTGTGTGTATATGTGTGTGTGTGTGTGTGTGTGTGTGTGTGTGTGTGTGTGTGTGTATGTGTGTGTGTGTACCCTTGGGGACCAGAAGATGACACTGGACACTGGATCTCCTTGGGCTGGAGTTACAGGCACCGCTGCCCAATGTGTGGGTGCAGGGATTTGAACTCAGATCCTTGGCAAGAGCAGCAAGTGCTCCTAACCACTGACCCATCTCTCCAGCCTGATTCCTCTTTTAAATTCTATACTGTGTTTGTGCCGTGGAGGGCTTGGGAGGAGCAGATCTCTCCTTCCACCTTGAAGTGGGATCTGGGGATTGAACTCAGGTTTAGGGCTTGACAGCAAGTGCTCTTACCCACTGAGCCACCTCACTGGCCCCTGTTGCTTATTCTTTTATAGCAAATAGCCCTGTGGTCAAGCCCGAAAGCAGCTCTAGCACATGTGTCCTCAGGGACATCAGAGGTCACATCATCCCTCTGCTCTGGGCCATTTCATCCCATTCATCACCTATAAAGAGCTGAACCTGAAAACACAGCACCAAGAAGGCTGCTGGAAGGATGTGTTTATGGTGTGACAGCGAGACAGGAAGGCGGGGCAGCTTGTTGCTTCTGGAGGGGGGTTGAGATAAGGGCTCCCTCTGTAGCCCAGGCTGGCCTTGAACTCTCCACCCTCCTACCTCAGCCTCCCAAGGGCTGGGATCACAGGCGTGTGCCACCATGCCTGACTCTTCCTGGTGCCTTCTAGCAGACAAGGAACACTTGGACAGCCACAAGGAGAAGGGCGTGTCAGCAGCTGGGTGGGATGTCAGCTCTGCCTGGGGAGGTCAGCGTCATTTGGGAGGAGGCGGCCCCGGGACACTAGGTGATGATGAGCATCTCCTCGCGGTCTCTGCTCTCTGACATGGAGTTGATGATGCTTTTTAAATACTTGATGAATTCCACCCGGACCTCCTCGGGGTCTTCCTCCAGGTTTGAGTGCACCAGCTTCAGCTTGTTCAAGGGGGAAGCTCCACAGGGAAACGAGGCCGATTAATTAGGCTTCACGGTTGAACAATGAGCTCTCTAGCACGCAACAACCCAGGCTACTGGAATATCACTTGTCTCTTTCGCTCTCTTCCTCCCTCCCGCCATGAAGGTCTTGCAATATACACTAGGCATGCTTAGAACTCTTGGTCCTGCTCAGCCTTGCCAGTGCTGAGATCACACACTTGTGCTAGCACACTCAGAAACGTGCTGAACTCCTAAAACTTTTAACCTGCTTGACATACAGGGAATGGCCTTGGTGGTGGTGCAAGGCTTTAATCTCAGCACTCAGGAGGCAGAGGCAGGCAGATTTCTCTGAGTTGGAGGCCAGCCTGGGCTACAGAGTGAGATCCAGGACAGCCAGGGCTACACAGAGAAATCCTGTCTCGAAAAACCAAACCAAACCAAACCAAAAACTGAAACTACCCTTGGCAATGGGAAAGACACCCAAACAGGTACTGGCAGGTGCTTGTTTTTGTCTTTTGTGTGGTGCTGCACAGCATTACGCATACTGGACAGGTGCTCTGTAACAGGGCTACACCCTGCCACACCACTGGGGGATTCTAGGCAGGTGCTCTACCACTGAGCCACACCCCAACCCCTCACTGGGGGATTCTAGGCAGGTGCTCGACCACTGAGCCAACACCCCAGCCCCTCACTGGGGGATTCTAGGCAAGCATGTTACTGCTAATACATGCCTCTATGAACACCCATATACAGGAGGTACATATGCATACACAGGCAGACACACAAACATAAATAAGTACAAAAAAATAAAAAAATAAAGCCCCAAGGTGAATGGCTTTCCTGAGAATGACATCTAAGGTTGATCTATGGTCTCCAAACACTAGCAGACCTATGCTTTTGTGCACTTGTACATACACACACACACACACACACACACAGAAATGCTTGAAATAGTGGAGACATAAGCAGGAAAAGAAGTCTAGGGTGCTTACACAAAGCCAGGCTGCCCTTGTCCCCTCCAGAGCCCGGTTTGTGGTGGGCCACAAGCATGCAGTGACTATCTTGGAGGAACTGTTGCTGGACGAAGCAGGAATACCACATTTCAATTTCCTTTAGGTGGCTTGGGATGTCAGCATTGAAGACGATCACCACTCCATGAGCATCCTTCATCAGGGCTGGCCAGCAGGACTCAAACCTGTCAGGTAGAAAGGAAGCCAAGAGACAGCGGTAGGTCATCCTCGCTGCTAAATGTTGTTGTTGTTGTTATTATTATTACTATTATTATTGCAGCATTGGGGGCCTCACACATGCTGTGTAACCGCTCTACCACAGAGCCACACCCCAGCCCCTCACTGGGGGATTCTAGGCAGGTGCTCTACCACTGAGCCACCCAACCCCAACCCTGCTTTTTGTCAGTCAGCTGTCGAAGCAGAGCAACGTTAAAGAAAACCTACTTAGAGTCACCACCACAGTCCCAGAGCTCGAATTCACAGCCCGTGCCTTTGTTGTTGCTGGTGACATGTGGGTTCTCAAACTCCAGGATCCTAAAAACACAAACAGCGCAGCAGGCCCTTTATTAGGAGGCCGTTTCAGAATGTGCCCCACACCGAAGGTAGGAATGAACCGTGCTTCACAACTGCTTTAGAGATGCCGACTGGGCAGGCTCACCTCACACCCTGTGTTGGGTTGTATTCAGTGATGTCCGAAGATTCAGTCAGAAAGTTGGCCAACACTGTTTTGCCACTCTGTGAAAGCAAAAGCCAACACAGCAGAGCAATCAGTCACACGGCATCCCTCATCGACCATGTATGGTGGCACACACCTGTAACCCCAGCACTCAGGTGGCCGAGGCAGCAAGAACGTAAGTTCCAGGCTAGCCTGGGCTACATAGTGAGACCCTGTAGCCAGCCTGGGCCTAGGTGTGGTGAAGTACTGGCCATGACTCCTTGAGATCTCTAGGACAGAGAGCGCTCTCTGTCTGGAAGGATGCTGCCCCGCCCTAGCACAGTGGGCAGGGCTTAGATTGGCAGCATGCCTTTCCTGCAGCCTGGCTGGTACTCAGCAGCATGCCTTTCCTGCAGCCTGGCTGGTACTCAGCAGCATGCCTTTCCTGCAGCCTGGCTGGTACTCAGCAGCATGCCTTTCCTGCAGCCTGGCTGGTGCTCAGTTAGCTTACCTGACAGAACAGAAAAGCAGAAAGCACACAACAACAAAACCCCAGGTAAGTATGTGTCCCACCACCCCTCCCCTGATTCTCTCCACAGCTTTAGCCCATTAGTCTGTTACAGATATGAGGTCACCAAGAGGGTCAAGGTCAACACTGAGACCCAGGTGTGTGGATTCTTGCTGGTTAGGTCACCAAGTCAGCAATCTACTTCTCCTCATGTATTATGTAAGCAATCAACATTCCTATAAACAGTCAACAGGACAGTAAGAACCTTTCTGAGCCCTCTACCCAGACCAGGTTTCTATCCATCCATCCAACCATCCAACCACCACTCACCTCCCCCATTCATCCACCTATCTACTCAACTACTCACTCATGCCCATCCATCCATTCAACTACCCAATAACCCTCCCATCCATCCATCTATCCACCTACACATCCATCCTTCTACCCATTTACTCAACTCACTCACCCATTCATCATTCCACCCATCCACTCAAACACCCACTCAGCCTCTCATCCACCCATCCACCCATCCATTCTCTCCTCAGAGCTATAATCTGCTTTTCAGATCTTCTTCTTCTTCTTCTTCTTTCTTCTTCTTCTTCTTCTTCTTCTTCTTCTTCTTCTTCTTCTTCTTCTTCTTCTTCTTCTTCTTCTTCTTCTTCTTTGGTTTTTTGGTTTTTCTTTTTTTTTTTGGTTTTTCGAGACAGGGTTTCTCTGTGTAGCTTTGCGCCTTTCCTGGAACTCACTTGGTAGCCCAGGCTGGCCTCGAACTCACAGAGATCCGCCTGGCTCTGCCTCCCGAGTGCTGGGGTTAAAGGTGTGCGCCACCACCGCCTGGCTCAGATCTTCTTTATGTATTTGCACCATCCACTAAACAAATACTGCACATGACTAAATACAAAACAAAGGTCCCTTCTCCTCCAAAATTATTTCTCAGAAGCCAATCTCTTACATTTGAGTGAGCCCTTATAAAACTCTACAGGATAGGAGAAAGGAATGGGAAGAGAAGGGTTGGAGAGGTGGTGAGAAGAAGTAGGAAGACCAGGAGTTCCAGGTCATTCTAGGCTCCATGAGATCTTGTTTCATAAATAAATAAATAAATAAATACCTCTCTGCAATTATACTCTGTTCTCTAAACTACTTGTCTTGAGGTAAGGACTTGTTATGCAGCCCAAGCTGGGTACCAACTGTCAATCTTCCTGCCTCGGCCTTCAAAATGATGAAATTACCGGTGTCTATCACCAAACCTATACACACACACACACACACACACACACACACACACACACACACACACACACACACATATACAGGGTTTTACTATGTAGCCCTGGCTGGCCTAGAACTTACTATGTAGATCAGGCTGGCCCCAACTCAGATTCACCTGTCTCTGCCTCTTCAGTGCTGGAATTAAATGTATGTTCCATTATGCGCAGTCTGTGTGTGTGACTATGTGTGTTGAGAGTGTGTGCCCAGAGGCTGGAGCTGTCACATCTGGAAGTTGTAGGCAGTTGTGAGTCAGCTGGCATGGGTGCTGGGAACCAAACGAAGGTCTCTGCAAGAGCAGTGGGTGATCTTAATCACCAAACCATCTTTCCAGGCCCTGCTGGCATTTCCTTTAAGCCTTCTCCTCCTCTTTGCCCCAGGCTAGCCTCAAAACTACTATGTAGCCCAGACCACCTCAAACTTGTGGCAATCCTCCTGTCTTAGACTCCTGTGTGCTTTTATAGGCCTGCACCATCATACATGGCTCAATTCTTCCTTGATTTTTTTTTTTTAAAGAATTTTTAATTTATTTTATGTATATATGAGTGCTCTATCTGCATGTATGACCTTATGCCAGAAGAGGGCATTAGATCCCACTATCGATGGTTGTGAGCCACCATGTGATTGCTGGGAATTGAACTCAGGACCTCTGGAAGAGGAGCCAGTGCTCTTAACCTCTGAGCCATCTCTCCAACCCCCTCTTACTTGATTTTGTGCATGCTAAACATCTTCCTTAACTCAGGAAGTTTTTCCTTTGACAGGTTTTATGTATCCCAGGCTGGCCTCAGACTTGCTACTGTAGCCAGGGCTGTGACTTTGAACTCCTGATCATCCTGCCGCCACCTTCCAAATACTGGAATTGAGGTATGTGCCACTATGAAAGTTTTATGTGGTGCTGAGGATTGAACCCAGGGATTTCCATATGCCAGGCAAACGTTCTATTATCCAGCTGCATCCCCAGTCTCCTAACAAGATTAAGAACACATCTTTGCCATATATTCACCTATGAAGGTACAGTAGTTCTCATGTTTGGTCCATGAAGCAATGTAGTAGAATATTATTTTAAGGTGTGTTACTTTTGTTTATGCTGCATTTGTTTAACTCTGTGAAGCTGTGTTACTGTGCCTGTCTAACATAGCTGATGGTCTAATAAAGAGCTGAACAGCCAATAGTGAGGCAGGAGAAAGAATAGACGGGGCTGGCAGGCAGAGAGAATTAATAGAAGGAGAAATCTGGGAGAAAAGGAGAAGGAACAAGAGGAGGAAGAGGACATCAGGGGCCAGCCACTCAGCTTTACAACCAGCAGCGGAGTAAGAAAGAAAGGTATACAAAAATAGAGATAGTTAAAAGCCCAGAGGCAAAAGACAGCCAGGATAATTTAAAGTTAAGAAAAGCTGGCAAGAAACAAGCATTTCTAATTAAGAATAAGCCTCTGTGTGTGATTTATTTGGTAGTCGGGTGGCGGGCCCCCCAAAAAGAGCAAAAACAAACAACAACAGACCAGTGTACAAAATATGACTTCCCACATTCTTCCCAGACCTACTCAGGAACCACAGCTAGGGTGTCCAGGGCATGGTGACACAGGCCTGTAGTCCCAGTACTCAGGAAGCTGAAGCAGGGGAATCTTGAGTTCAAGTCCAGCCTGAACTACATAGCAAGACATTCCCACCAAATAACAAAACCTAACATAAGCGAACTTTCTGAGCTGGGACCCAGAGATATGAGCGTTAACGAACCATCTAGGTGATTCATATATTCACCTATCATCCGTCCGTCCATCCATCCATCCACCCACCCATCATCCATCCATCCATCATCCATCCATCCACCCACCCACCCACTATGTTATTTGAGACAGCACCTCACATTGCATCCCAGGCTGTCCCAGAACTCAGTATGTAGCCCAGGCTGCCCTTGAACTTTATGATCTTCCTCCCTCTGCCTCCCGAGTCCTGGTAATACAGGCGTGTGCCACTACGTCCAGCTTCCTTCTACAGTTAGCTTATTTGCATGTTTAGTTCGGGCCCATCTGAACTTTAATTTGGTGTATAGTGTGAATTACCTATGTAGTAATTCCCTCATAATTAACAACCACTTGCTCCAGGACCCTATATTGAAAAATCTGGTTTTCTCATCCAGTGGACAAATTCCTTTTGCGGGGAAGGTTCAGAGGGGGAGTCATGAGACGCCCCTCACTCCCTTTGGCACTAGGACCTGGGTACCTCAAGATTCTCCTCCACTACTTGGGTGGGGTGAACTGGATCAAGGCCTGGCAGCTCCGTGGGCCACCGCAACGCCAGCCGTCGCCCCCAGTGGGGATGCTGGCTCCAAGTTGCACCTCGCGGGAGCAGCCCCAGTTCCAGGAGGCTCCCGAACCCGGCCTCACCTCGCAGGGCCCCACGAAGAGGATCTTGGCCTTCAGCATCGCTGTCCGTGTACCGAGAAGCCCAGGAAGCCCACCGCCCAAGCGCGCTGAGATCCCCGCCGCGTCAGCCAGTAGGGCCACACGCTCTGATTGGCTGGCCGGTTTCCACGGCGACCGGGAACCGCTGCGCAGAAGCCCAGGAAACGCCGCCGGTTCAGTGGGTCTGCTATGGAAGCTGGGGAGGACCAAAAGAGAAAACGCAAAGCTGGGTCTGCAGACGGCCTTCTGAGCGCCCTGGAGCGGGTGGAATGATCGGGCTCTAATCCGCTTTATTTCTCCCGGTCACCGTGAACGTTCCAGGGAGTCAGGGAGCTGCTGAGCTGGGCTGAAAACCAGAACTGTGATTTTTTCCCCCCTCTTTTATTCCTCGTACTGAGGATTGAAACCCCGTGCCTTATTCATAGGGGTTAGCCTGCCCTACACCTCCAGCCCATCTCATGCAGATTCGAAAAGGTGGTTGGTTGTTTTCCGAGGGTGGGTGCTGGAGATTGAACTCGGATACTCATGAATTCTAGGCAAGCACTCTGCAGTTGAGCCACATCCTCAGTCCAACTCGCTCTGTAGACCAGGCTGACCTCGAACTCACAGAGGTCCAACCTGCCTCTGCCTCTCAAGTGCCAGCATTAAAGGCGTGCGCCACTTTCGACCTCCATTCTTTTTTAAGAAGTTACCCCCTCTCTCTTCTTTTTATTCCTTCCTCCTTCCTTTTTTTTCTTTCTCTCCCTTTCTTCGTGTGTGTGTGTGTGTGTGTGTGTGTGTGTGTGTCTGCGCGCGCGCAGACACGCTCGCATCTGCCATGGCACATGTTAGGGGATCGGGCCTAGATGAAGTAAATAGGTCGCCAGGGGCGGGTCCTTCAGGGTATGTTATACCTGGCTGCCTTCCTGTCTTGCTTCCTGCTTCCTGTCCGCCACGTGTGGACTGAACTGCCACTGTGACAGACTGAACTCTTCGAGGCAAAATTCTTTCCTCCCTTAAGCTGTCCAGTTTGGGCGATATAATATAGACATAAACGCAACTGACACACAATGTAAGGAGTCTGTGTCTAAAGTGATAGCGGTAATAAGTCAGAACCACAGCTTTTCTCTAGTGCTCCAGCCCCCCCCCCTTCTCTGTGCGTGTATATGAATGTGTATGCACATGTTTGTGTATGTGTGTGCCCATGAAGGTACATACACATGTGTGTTTGTGCACGTGCATGTATACAGTGTGCAGAGCTAGGGGTAGATGTCTGGTGTTTTCTATCACTCTCAACCTTTTGTTTTGTTTTTCGAGACAGGGTTTCTCTGTGTATCCCTGGCTGTCCTGGAACTCTCTCTGTAGTCCAGGCTGGCCTTGAACTCACAGAGATCCACCTGCCTCTGCCTCCTGAGTGCTGGGATTAAAGGTGTGCACCACCACTGCCTGGCACTCTCCGCCTTTCCTCCCAAGATCTTTTAATTTTTTTTTTTTTTTGGTTTTTCGAGACAGGGTTTCTCTGTGTAGCTTTGCGCCTTTCCTGGAACTCACTTTGTAGCCCAGGCTGGCCTCGAACTCACAGAGATCCGCCTGGCTCTGCCTCCCAAGTGCTGGGATTAAAGGCGTGCGCCACCACCGCCCGGCTGATCTTTTAATTTTTATTTTGTGTTTATTTTGTCTTGCCTGCATGCACATCTGTGCACCATTTGCATGCAGTACCTGAGGAGACCAGGAGAGGGCGTCGGATTCCCGTGGAACTGGAGTTACATACTGTTGTGAGCTGCCATGGGGTGCTAGGAATCAAATCTCCAGCCCATGAGTCATCCCTCCAGCCCTATCACCTTAAATTTTGAGACGGAGTCTCTTACTGAACATGGAGCTCACCAGGTCAGCTGATCAACAAGCTCCATGAGTCTTCTTGTTAGTACCTCTCCAGTCCTGGGACAATGGATGCTTACCACTATGTCTGGCTTTTACATGGGTACTAGGAATGAACTCAAGTCCCCCTGTTTATATAGTAAGCACTGCTGTGGGATGTCCTGTATGTTGTGAATATATGTTGCTATGATTGATTGATAAATAAAACACTGATTGGCCAGTAGCCAGGCAGGAAGTATAGGATAGGCGGGACAAACAGAGGAGAGAGGCTGGGAGGTGGAAGTCTGGAGGAGACGCCAGCCTGCCGTCCAGGGAGCAGCATGTAAAGAAAGACAACAGGTAAAGCTTCAGAACACGTGGCGACATATACATGACAGAAATGGGTTAATTTAAGATAGAAGAACTAGATAACAAGAAGCCTGCCATGGCCATACAGTTTGTAAGCAATGTAAGTCTCTGTGTGTTTACTCAGTTGGGTTTGAGTGGCTGCGGGACTGGAGGGTGAGAGAGATTTGTCCTGACCGTGGGCCAGGAAGGACTGGAGAAAACTTCAGCTACAAAGCACTTATTACCGAGCCATGCCCCAGCCTTCCCATCTCCCCCTTTATGCACAAGATGCACTGCTTCCTTTGTGTGTAGAAATGGCTTGCCTCTTTTTCTCCCCAGCTCTGGCTGGTCCAGAGCGCAGGCTGCGTCAGTCTGGGTGTTTGTTTTTTACACAGGGAAGAAGGTGCTGTGTATTCCATCCTTTAATATTCCAGAGAAAGCCAAGCACAATGTGCAAGCCTGGGTAATCCTGGCACTCAGGGGCAGAGGCAAGAGGATCAGGAGTTCAAGGTCAGCCCAGACTATGTGAGACCTCATCTCAAACAACAACACGCCCCCAAACAAACAGGGGGCCGCAGAGATGGCTCAGTCAGTGTTGTTATACAGGAGAACCTGAGTCTGAATCCTCAGCACTCATGTAAAATGTCAGGAGTGAGGGCAAGAGCCCGTAATCCCACTGCTTGGGAGACTGAGGCAGCAGATCCCAGGAGCTAATGACCAGCTAATCTTGCTGGATCAGTAAATTCCAGGTTCCTTGAGAGACCCTGCCTCAAAAAATAAGGTGGAGGAGCTGGAGAGATGGCTCAGCGGTTAAAAAAGGTTTGTTGCTCTTGCAAGAGAACCAGATTCGGTTCCCAACACACCAACATGGGGTGGCCCCCCCACTGATTGTAATTCCAGCTTCAGAGAATTCAACACCCTCTTCTGTCCTCCTCAGGTACCTGCACCCATGTGTGTGTGTGAACATTGTCTCACTGTGCTTTTCTATTGCTGAGGCAAAACCTGGAACAAAACTAACATGGAGAAGGAAAGGGGTTGTTTTAGCTTACAGGTCCATGAAATGTTTATCTAAATTGTTCTATTATCAATAACAACTCGGGAGTCTGATATTGGGGTAAAAACCCGATCAAGAAAGCAGGGGCTGGAGAGATGGCTCAGGGGTTAAGAGCACTGGCTGCTCTTCTAGAGGTCTTGAGTTCAATTTCCAGCAACCACATGGTGGCTCACAACCATCTATAATGAGATCGGATGCCCTCTTCTGGCCTGCAGGTGTGCATGCAGAGCTCTCATACATAAAATATAAATAAAAAAGAAATAGAGGTGGAGGAGTGGGGGGGGAGGAATGACCAACTGACCCTCTCTCCACACTTCTGAGATTGAAAAAGCCTGTGAATCTTTCTAAGCCCCTCCCTACTCCTTCTTGTGCCTCTCCATCACACCTTGCTAGGCAGATGCTGTGACACTGAGCACCCCAGCCCCTCACTGGGGGATTCTAGGCTGGTGCTCTACCACTGAGCCACACCCCAGCCCCTCACTGGGGGATTCTAGGCAGGGGCTCTACCACTGTTACACTCCTAGCCTTCTTTTTGCTTTTAATTAAATTAATTAATTTATCTATTTTGAGACAAGGTCTCAGTATGTAACTTTGGGTGTCTTGGAACTATGCAGACAAGACCAGCCTTGAACCCACAGAGATCCATCTGCTTCTGCATGCTATCATATCTGACTTTTCACTTTTTGTTTCCAGACAGGAACTCCGTAAGTTGCCTGACTGGCTTTGATCTCACCCTGTAGCCCAGGCTGGCCTTGAGTCTTTTACCTTCCTCCTCCAGCTTCCTGAGCAGCTGAAATGATAGGGCTGTACCACCAGGCCCAGATGTCCCTCCTCTCTCGTATAGATCTTGACTGGCTGGGCAGGATGGCTGATCAGTAGAGAGGAGCCGAGTCTGACAGACTTGAGTTCAATCCCCAAGACTCTGATGATGGAAAGAGAGAACTGATTCCTGGAAGTTGTCTTCTGACCTCCATATGTGTGCATGTGCACACCCATACTCATATACCCACATACGGCATAAAATATATTCAATACAGAACTTGTACAGATTTTTAAAAAACGTTTGATTTATTTGTGTCTGTGTGGCCCTGCACACTACGGTGCCTGTGTGGTCAGGGGGCAGCTTCGGGGAATTGGTTCCTGGGTGGGTCCTGGGAGTAGAGCTGAGGTTGTCAAGCTTGGTGGCAAGTGCCTTTACCAGCTGAGCCAGCTCGCTGGTCCCTTGTTCCCTCTCCCAACCAGGCTGCTCCAGTTGTCTCTCTGCTGGATGTTGTAAAGTCTTGATTTGATGACGTTTTTCTACACATCGTTTCCTTTTAATTATCTGCTACTTGCTACAAAGTGTCTTCCTTGATCTCTTTTATTCTCTCTCTCTCTTTCTTTCTGAGACAGGGTTTCTCTATATTTTCTCCTGACTGTCCTGGAACTCACTCTGTAGACAAGGCTGGCCTTGAACTCACAGAGTTCTGCCTCCCGAATGCCAAGATTAATGGTGTGCACGATCACCGTCTGGCCTCTTCTCACCTTTTTAAAGACAGGATCACACTACACAGCCCTGGCTGGCCTGGAACTTGCTACATTGACCAGGCTGGCCTCAGACTTACAGAGATCCACCTGCCTTTGCTTCCCAAGTGTTGTGACAAAAGGAGTGTGCCACCACCTCACCCAAAGTCACACATTGAAAACTGCATTAGCATCAGCATTTCATGGGCCAGTGCGTGGATGAAGTCTCTTGAAGAAGTTTCCTATTCCTTATAAACCAACCAGGCTGAAGGAAGACATGCTTGTGTGTTGGGGTGCTTGGTGGGGAGCAGCACTGGGTGGGTTAGTATTATTATTAGTTCCTGAAGGAGAGACTTTGTGGGAAAAGATTCCTTT